TGCCATCGTCGCAGGCCCTGACGAGGAGTGCCTTGTTTGTGTGGTCTAATGAGCCAGGAAGCTCATGGGGGTTTTGGTGAAACTTTAGAGATAAAAAGGCAGGCTCAGCTTCAGAGGGTATAGGTGTTAGATCGCACTAACAAAGACCTGTAGAGTGATTTCAGCAAGTGATTCAGCTTTATTCGAACAAGCACACAAACGCATTCAGGAATCAGAACAACTTAACATTGGAGCTGGGCTCCTTTTAAACATACCGGGCTAATATAGCCACGCCTACTATTTACATAACAACCAATCAGATTGCATAGATAAGGGCGAATCAGTGTCCTTCCCGCTCAGGGAATAGCTCTTCTTTGATTGGTCGCTGTTTTGAAGCGACCAATAGAATGTTCGTACTGACGGAGCCTTGGCCGGCTCGAAGCTCAACATGGGAAGTCTATTGAGCGATTCATGTTATGCTGTTAATACATAACAATAGGCTTGCCAACCCTGGGTTGGGAAATTGCTGGCTATCAGGAGTGGTAGAGATTTGTGCAGGAGAGCAGAGATGCCAACCTCCAGGGCCAGTTAGGCGTAGTGGCAGGGGCGGATAAAGGCTCACTGGTGCCCTAAGCGCTGACCAATCTTGGTGCCCCCCTCCTTTCCACACTGACCCCCAGTCCATTTTAGTCATTGACCTGTCCGACCAGATATACCAGTGGTGGCGAACCTATGGCACGGGGGCCAGAGGTGGCACTCAGAGCCCTCTCTGTGGGCACGCGTGCCATCGCCCCAGCCAGGCCCAGACCATCATTAAAGTGTAGAATTCTCTGCCAAATAATTTTAAGTCAATGAAAGCATTTGGGATTGCTTTCCTTACTTTGTTTGGATCGTCTTAAGTTAATGTATGAGTTGTTTTTTCTAAAATAAAACCTCAGTATTCAGGTTAAATTGCCGTGTTGGCCCTTTGCGATAAATAAGTGGGTTTTGGGTCGCAGTTTGGGCACTCAGTCTCTAAAAGGTTCGCCATCACTGAGATATACAATGCAGGTTGCAGCAAGACAAAAATTTATTCACAGGATAACACAATAGACTGTACAAACTAAGCCTATGACACTGCACCTCACCAACAAAAAATAGAAGATAACCCTAGGGTGCACTCTGATCAATTTGCACTCGTTTTATCAATTTTATCTTTTTTTTTTTTTACAAATCTTCATTCGTTTTTCTTTTTTTCCCACCCTTTCCTCAACTTTGTGGTGCCCCCTTTGGCCCTGCTGCCCTAAGCACCACCTGAGTCTGCTTAATGGTTAATCTGGCCATGCATAGTGGGAATGCGGACTCTAATCTGGGAGAACCGGGTTTGATTTCCACACTCCTCCTCCACATCCGGCTGCTGGTGTGACCTTGGGTCAGTCACAAGCTATTTCAGAGCTGTTCTCTCAAGAGCACTTCTCAAAAGAGCTCTCTCAGCCCCACCTGCCTCACAGGATGTCTGTTGTGGGGAGGGGAAGGGAGAGGAGATTGTAAGACGCTCTGAGACCCCTTCTGGTAGTGAAGGGCAGGGTATAAATCCAGTCTTTCCTCCTCCTCCTCCTCCCCCTTCCAGAATTACGGATCATATCCAGGATTTACAGATCAGTTCCCCCTGGAGAAAGTGTCTGCTTTGGAAGGTAGATTGCAGTGTTCCCTCTAAGATGAGTTAGTGTGAGCTAAGTAACAATTTTTTAGCCTCCGGCTCAGACATTTTTACTTTAGCTCAGGAAGGATGGCTCCAGAGCAAACTAACTGATGCAGCAGCCAAATTGCTCACTCACAACTTTAAAGCCAGCAGCTCACAAAGTAGAATTTTTGCTCGCAGGACTCTGCAGCTTAGAGGGAGCATCAGGAGACTGTATGGCATTCTACCCCACTGAGGTCCCTTCCTGCACCAAATGCCACTCTCCCTGGGCTGCACCCTCGAAACTCCAGGAATTTCCCAACCTGGAGCTAACTCCCTCCCCCCTCTGCAGTCTCCACCCCCAAATCTCCAGGAATTTCCCAGCCTGGAGTTGGCAAACCTTGAACCCTGACTCCCCTGTCTGAAGAGTCCAAACAAAATGTGGTCAGACACACAAAAAGCCTGCAGAGACTGAAAGAACGAAGCCCCATTTCTTTCACCCTGGCTCTCTCCCCAGATCAAGGCTCTAGTCCTTAATGTGTCAACGCAACCCCACCCCTCTGTCCTAACAAGTCGACTACCTTTATCTTATCTGACCCGTTCACCCTTCTGTCTCCCTCCACCCCTTTAGATTTGGAGACACCCACGGGATTGCTGCCTGGAAAGATAAAGTGGGATAGGATAGAAATATCCTAAACAGATTATAGCCCCACCACCACCACCACCATCGAGGGATTTCTCACCATGCAAGAACTCGCGGGCGCTCCATGAAATTGCTGAGCAGTCGGGTGAGAACAGGTAAAAGGAAGTCCTTCACCCAAAGAGTGATGAACACATGGAATTCACTGCTACGGGAGCTGGTGGCGGCTACAAGCATGAACGGCTTCAAGAGGGAATTAGATAAGCCTATGGAGCAGAGGTCCATCGGTGGCTATAGCCACAAGGTATAGGTAGGAACTCTGGGGCAAGTGATGCTGTATATTATGTTGTCGAAGGCTATCACGGCCGGAGTTCATTAGTTGCTGTAGATTTTCCGGGTTGTGTGGCCGTGGTCTTGGCATTGTAGAACCTGACGTTTCACCAGTGGCGAAACGTCAGGTTCTACAATGCCAAGACCACAGCCACACAA